GTGTTCAATGGTGCTGTGAGTGATGACTCGAAGAGGCTGGGGAAATTTTGCGGAGACAAGGCCCCTAGGTGAGGGCTGGACCCTTGGCTGGGCACTGTTGGGGCCAACTCCTCACCCCTATGTGAATAGTTGTCAAGGCCGTGCAAGGTTGGGCTGACCAGGCAAAATCTCAGCTCCAGGGCTCCAAACCTTTGTTCTGAACAAGTATAGGAGCCGGCAATGGTTTAGTGTATCTTCTGGGGTCTACAGAGCCTCAAGGGCACTGGGGTTTCAGAGGACTAGTTTAAGGTTGGCCACTGGGGACAGAACAGAGCACACAGAACAGTCTTCCTTAACATCTCAACCAATTCTCCTCTGCCCATTGCAGCCCCATCTCTTCCGAAGGGAATGAGCTCTTGGTCCAATTTGTATCGGATCTCAGTGTCACCGCAGATGGCTTCTCAGCCTCCTACAAGACCCTGCCTCGGGATGCCGTGGAAAAGGAGCTAGCTCCAAGCCCAGGGGAGGATGTGCAGCTTGGTCCCCAGTCCCGCTCTGACCCAAAGACAGGAACTGGGCCCAAAGTCAAACCACCCAGCAAACCTAAATTCCAACCTGCAGAGAAACCTGAGGTTTCTCCTGATACCCAGGAGACTCCAGTGGCCCCGGGTGAGTGTGAAAAGGTGGACGAAGGGGCTGGAGAGATGGCTCAGTGGTTAAGAGAGCCACTGGCTGCTCTTCCAGAGGATCCAGGTTTGATTCCCAGCACTCACATGGCAGCTCACAACCATCAGTAACATCATACATGCAGGCAAAACACCCACATAGATAAAATTAAAAAAAAAAAAAAGGGGAAGGGGCATGGACGAAAGGGAGCACCAAGTTCTTCCTTGGTTCAGCATTCATTCAGTCATTCAGTCATTCCACACTCATTGATGCCTGCCTCCTGTCAGTGTCTGGAACTCGTGCTGGGAAGCACTGCTGTACGAAGCTCTGAGTTTCCATCTATATGGCTGTTGCAATTTCAGATGTGACTAGCTAGGGTAGGGCTTGCATACAATCTTCCAATGAGGGCTGAAGGCATGGCACAGTGGTAGATCTTTCCTAATATTCTCACAAAAAGGGGCTGTAAGTACTGCTCAGCTGTAGAATGTCTGTCCCAGAATCCTCTAGTGAGGATCTGAAGTACGACTCAGTGGCAAGGTGCTTGCCTAGAATCCTCCAGGGAAGGTGGAAGGGTGTGGCTCAGCCATAGGGCACCTGCCTAGCACACATCAGACTCTGGCTCCATTCCTAGCACTGCAAATAAAGGAACAAATAGGCTGATGCAAGGCAAGTGGTCCTGCCTGTCCTCCAAAGCAGCACTGTCTCTCCTAGATCCACCCAGTGCCACCTGTCCAAAGCAGTACAAGCGGCTAGGCACCTTGCAGAGCAACTTTTGTGCCAGTAGTCTAGGTAAGACTCTCCATCCTGCCCTCCCAACTCCCCATGCCCTCATCCAAGTCCAGCCTTAGCCACTGGACTCTTATCTCTTACCCCCACCCTTCCATAGTGGTGACTGGAACAGTGAAGACCATGGTCCGAGGCCCAGGGGAGGGACTCACTGTCACCATCAGTCTCCTTGGTGTTTACAAAAGCGGAGGACTAGACCTGCCCTCTCCACCCACTGACACCTCTCTGAAACTCTATGTGCCCTGCAGGCAGATGCCCCCCATGAAGAAAGGTAGGGGGCATGGGAAATGGGGATGGGTACTGAGCACACTGTAGTCATGAAGGTGCAAGATCTGATCAATGTGTCACAAGGTCTCACTAACTTGAGCTCTCAATTCCCTCTCCAGGAGCCAGCTATCTGTTGATGGGTCAGGTGGAAGAAAACAGAGGCCCCATCCTTCCTCCAGAGAGCTTCCTGGTTCCTTACAAGCCCAACCAGGACCAGATCCTCAATAACCTAAGGAAAAGGAAGTGTCCCTCCCAACCTAGGCCAGCTGCCTGAGGTCCTAGCCAGATGCAGCCTCCGTGTATGGTGCTCTCATCCAAATAAATGTTCCTAACTCAGGAGGGGATCATATATCAGTTCTATGGCTGTGGGGGGGGGTGCATCTTGCATTTCAGAACACTTTTTCCTTTGAGGATGAACTCAGGCTTACACAAGGTAGGCAAGTACTCTACAACTGAAGACACCACTATATCTTCAGCCTTCAGAATACTCTTTTAATTACATATGGTAGAAGCTAGGCGGTGGTGGTGGTGCATCCCTTTGATCCCAGCCCTTAAGAGGTAGAGGCAGGCAGATCTCTGAGTTCAAGGCCAGCCTGGTCTACAGAGCAAGTTCCAGGACAGCCAGAGCTACACAGAGAAATCTGTCTCAAAAACAAACAAAAGAACACATACTAAGGGCAGGCAAGCTGGCTCAGTGGGTAGAGGTACCTGCTACCTAAAGACCTCAATTCAATCCCTGGGATCCACATGGTAAAAGGAGAGAACCAACTCCTGCAAGTTGTCCTCTGTCCTCAACAAATGCATTGTCACACACACACACACACACACACACACACACACACACACATTAGTTTAACTTACAAAGGGAAGTAAATTAGGGGGTGGAGAAGTAGCTTTAGTAAAGTGCTCACATGGTGATTCCCAGCACCCATGAAGTAACTAGGCATGACAGGGTGTACCTGTAACCCCAGTTCTGGGCAGGCAGAGGTAAGAGGACCCATGAGACTTGCTGGCTAGCCAATCTAGCCCAACGAGCTTCAACTGCAGTGAGAGACCCTATTTTCAAACAAGGTTGAGTGACCAGATGGTTGCAGGGCTAAAGGCACTTGCCCTTATGCCTAGTGATCCGAATCCCATCCATAGAGCCCATATGAAGTATGAACTTCAACAAGCTGTTCTCTGACTTCTACACATGCACTGTGTGATGAACCCCACAAACATACATAATGCACCAAAAATAAAAATATAAGTATTACGTAAAAATAAGTAATAATGTGAAGAGCAACTTAAGAAAACACTCACTGTTGACTTCTGGACACCATACTATGTACACACATCACATATAAAATAAAGAATACAAAGTAGAAGCTGAGTGTGTAGGACTGGGACGATGGCTAAGTGGTTAGAGTACTGACTGCTCTTCCAGAGCCGGGTTTGGTTCTTAGCACCCACATGGTGGCTCTGTAACAGTTCCAGGACATCCAATGCCCTCTCTTGGCCTCTGCAGGCAACAACAGCATGAGAGTGGTCACAGACATACATGCAGGCAAAGCGCCAATAACTCAGTCTCCTCTCTCTCTCTCTCTCTCTCTCTCTCTCTCTCTCTCTCTCTCTCTCTCTCATCGCTCCTTCTCTCCTCTCTGTTTCTCTATCTCCTCCCTGTTTCTCCCCCTGTCTGTCCCCCCCCCAGCAATCCCAACTAGAAGCTGAATGTGTACTGCCTGTAATCACAATACTTGGGAGGTGGAGGCAAGATAAGCATGATTTCAAGGCCAGCCTGGGCTACATAGTAGTTGGAGGCCAAATCTTAACTATATAAGATTGAATGTCACGCTTTAAGAAGTTAGCAGTGGGCTGGAAAGATAGCTCAGCAGTTAATAGTACTAGCTGCTCTTCCAAAGGACCCGGGGTTCAATTCCCAGCACCCATATGGCAGCTCACAGCTGTCTGTGATTCCAGTTCCAGGGGTCCCAACATCAATGCACATAAAATAAAAATAAATAAATTAAAATCCATCCCCCACAGAGGTCTTCTGTAAATTTAAAAACAACAAGAAACAAGTTAGAAGGGCTGGGCCATGGTAATGAACACTTTTAATCCCAGGACTCGGGGCAGAAGCAGGTGGATCTCTGAGTTTAAAGCATGCCCCGTCTACACAGTGAGTTTCAGGACAGCCTTCAAAACTACCTGTGTACTTCTACCACAGGAATGGGGGACTACCTTCCCAGGTATTTCTCCTGACTTCTTGGTGGTTCTTGTTTTGGTTTTTTGGTGAACCAGTTTTATTAGGGTTGCTTCCAAGAGCGTAGAAAACTTAATAGTGGTTATCCCAAGGAAGAAAATGTCTCTATCTAGCAATTATTATCTACCTTATAGGGTCAGGGCCTCTAAGCCCCTCTTATTTAAAAAGTCTTTTATTAGGGTTCAAGAGATGACTCAGAGGTTAAGAGCATCAGCTGGTCTTCCAGAAGTCCGGAGTTCGATTCCCAGCAACCACACACCATCCACAATGAGATGGTATCCACAATGAGGGCATCCACAATGATGCCCTCTTCTGGCGTGCAGGCAAACATGGAGAAGAAAACAAAAACAGAACTTTTTAAAGATTAATTCATGTACATCGAGTGCTTTGTCTGCGTGTATTGAACCACGTACAGGCAGACGTCAGATGAGGCGTCGGGTCCCATGAAACTGGAGTTATATGTGGTTATGAGCCACTAAGTGAATGCTGGAACCGAACCTGCGTCTTCTGCGCTCAGAAAGAACAGCCAGCCTCTCCGCGTTACTACCAGGCCACGGCGGAACTCGTACAATACTTACCCAAGACCAGCCAATCACTAACGCCGAGAGGAGAGGGGTGGGTCTTTGAAGAGCACCAATCAGCACACAGTTGGGCGGAAGCGAGACAGCATCGACCAATGAGAGAGGCCGTACGGCGGAACTGCATTGAGAAACTTTCGGGAAGATGGGGCCCTTAGCCTGGAGGAAACTTTGACTACCCGGTGACTATCGGAGGACGAGCGGCCATTCGGAGGCGGAGTGGTGGAGAGGGCACAGGCCGAGCTTAAGGCAACGGGTCGGAGACGCAACCCGGTGGCCTGGAGATCAGGAGGACTCAAGAGGACGGAGTCCGCCAGGAGACCGGAGCGGGAACGCCCGGAAGGGGCGGGGCTTACTGCACCATGCCAGAAGACCCGGATTGGGAAACCAATGGGCGGGCCAGATTTCAGCCCGGTGGGCGTGGCCGCTGCGGTGCGGTTTGGGGGCGGGGCCTTGGGAGCCCGGGCCGGGGCTGTCGGACCCAGGTCCAGCGCGGCGCCGAGGCAGCCGGGACGTCGGGCCGGGCTCTCCCGCCGTCTCGCCGCGTCCTGTCCGCCCTCGCGCCGCTATCCCGAGACTCCACGGCCCTCTTATCCTCGTGAGCTCTGCCCTCGGATGTCCGCCCGCCCGGAGCCTGCATGCGCCGTGGGGCGCCCCGGGACCAGGAGCTGGTGGGTCCGGGGGCCCCTGGGCGGGGGCCCCGCCGCTCTCCTTCTTCTTCAGGACCCGTCGTCCCGGTGCTCGTCTTCCCCCCGGATCTAGTATTCAGGGCGGACCAAAGGAGCGGACCCCGGCAGCTGCTGACCCTCTACAACCCCACGGGGACTGCGCTTCGCTTCCGAGGTGAAGTGATGGATGATAGCTGCATGTGGAGGGGTCATGTGGGCTGGAGGGGCTAGTTAAGTAAAAGGCAAGATGACCAGCTTTGGGTCTGCAACAATGATGTCCGTACCTCGGGTGGCTGACAGAGGGCCTCTGGTGACCCACCATGAGCAAAACTTGCCTAAGGTCTCCTTGTGTGTCTTTACCCCACAGTTCTGTGCACAGCACCCGCCAAATACACGGTATTCGATGCAGAGGGCTATGTGAAGCCTCAGTCTTGCATTGACATGTGAGTTGGGGGTGGGGGGCAGCCAGCCAATGCCGCCACCTGTTGCCTTGCTCTGAGACATTTTCACCCGCTGGCTGCAGTCACTCTGCAGGGAAAAGTTTCTGGGGAGGAGATCTGGAGTCACTTGGTTGGTTGCTTCTCACTTACTTCCTCCTAATGGGTCAGTGTGATACGGCACGTGGCCCCCATCCCCAGCCACTATGATGTCCAGGACCGATTCCGAATTGAGCTGTCAGAGGAGGGGGCTGAGGGACGTGTGGTTGGACGAAAAGACATCACCTCTGTTCTTCGGGCCCCAGCGTACCCCGTGGAGCTTCAGGGACATTCTGAGCCAACACCCAACCCAGGACCTCCTTCGTGGACAGGCCCAACCCCAGCCAGACACCTTCAGGAGAGTGAGTTGAACGGATTCTTTGTGTGTGTTTGTGGTGTTGTGTGTATATTATTGTGAGTATATTCATGTGGGTTCTTGTGTGTGTGTGTGTGTGTGTGTGTGTGTGTGTGTGTGTGTGTGTGTGTAGGCCAAAGGTTAATTTTACTCAGTCGCTCTCCATCTTTATTTTTTGAGACAGGGTATCTCCCTGAATCTAAAGCACATTGATTTGGCTAGACTAGATGACCAGTTAACTTCAGAATCCAGTATCTACCTGTCTCCACCACCCAAAGACTGGGATTATAGGCACACACTGCCATGCAGGTTTTTCTGGGATTCTGGGCATCTGAACTCAGATCCTCATGATTGCACTGTCAGCCCTTTACTGACTGAGTCATTTTCCGTGGTTCTTGGTTTTCTGTAGTACTGAAGATTCACCTTGTACCTAAAGAAAACACTCTACTATTGAACAATATCTCCAATCCTGTAATGGGTACTCCTGAATTCTATAGGGAGAGAAGAAATAGCATTACCCTAAAAATTAAATGAGGTTTGAAGAAGTCCTGTCCACGAAGGTGTGTGTGTGTGTGTGTGTGTGTGTGTGTGTGTGTGTGTAGTTGTTCCTGAGTGAGGTTTTCTATTAGATGAGAGAAGAAGACTTTGCAGTTGTCCTGGTTTCCAACTTCTAATCAGAGGGACAAGTTCTTCCCTTGCTCCAACTGCAGTGGCTGTTATCAGGTGCCAGCTACGTCCAGTTCAATAAGAAACCTGTACTGAGCAGTTGTACTCTTGTGTGCTGGGCATGGGAGATACAGAGGCCCTGTCTGCCAGCCCAGGACACTAAGAACACAGTACTGAAGGCAGGAGAAAGAGGAGGGACAAGAGGACAGAGCTTCTTGTGACTTCAGAATAGAGGCTCCGAGGAGGAGAGGACACTCCCAGGGTACCCTTGGAGGGCAATAAAATGTAAACACAAAGGCCAGCATGATGGTACAAGCCTGGGATACCACCATTTGGAGGACTACAAGGAAGGAAGGAGTGTTGCAGGTTCCAAGCCAGCCTGGGCTACACAGTAAGGCTGTGAAAAATGGGTGTGGGGTGGGGAGGTACCTCAGTTGGTAAAGTGTTTGCTACATAAGAATAAGGACCTGAGTTCAGTCGCTAGCATCCATGACATGGTAGCATTGTATTTGGAATTCCAGTTCTGAGGAGGCAGAGACAGGGAGATCCTTGGGGCTGGCTAACTAATCAGCCAGTCTAATGGAGAAGTCCAGGTCCCACTGAGACCTCATTCCCCAAAAAACAAGCTGTCTGGTTCCCGAGGAGCCACACTTGAGGTTGATTTCTGGCTTCTGTATGTAACACGCATGTTCACGTTGACCCATGTACTCACATCTGTACACACTGAAGAGAGATAACCAAAACCGGATATGGTATTACACACCTGTCATGCCAGAACATGGGAGGTAGAGGCAGGAGGATCAGAAGTTCAAGACCATCCTTGGCTACCTAATGAGTTTGGGGCTATCCTAGATTACATACATGTGAGTCCATGTCTCAAATAAAATACGAGTAAACCCCAAACAGAGTAACTGCATCTCCCATGCTCATCCTGATCCCTGGCAGACCTTGGGCTCATGTTCCTCCTTTTGCAGATGCCCCCCAGCAGCTGGCCACCAGCTCCTTCCTGCTCTTCTTGCTGACAGGCATCATCTCTGTGGCCTTCCTGCTACTGCCACTGCAGGACGAGCTTGGCAGCCAGCTGCCTCAAGTCCTGCACGTGTCCCTGGGACAGAAGCTAGTGGCAGCTTACATCTTAGGTGAGCATAGTATAGGAGCAGCTGGGCCCACTTCTGGAGGAAGAGCGGAGAGGAAGGCCCCTGCATGTAATCTCTTTCTTTTCCCACCCTCAGGCCTCCTAACTATGGTGTTCCTCCGGACCTGAGCTCTCAGCTGCACCCACCCCACCCACCCTCCCTCTTCTGGGAAGGCAGGGACCTGAGGCAGCCACTGTGATGTTTGCACCTTGCCTCTTCTCTCTCTTTGCTGCCCATCCATCAGTTGTCATCCTGCCCCCCAACACCCAGGGATTTATATTCATTTTCCAAGTTGAATAAAATAAGTTTTAAAAATCAAAATGGGAAATGTTGGATGCTTGTTCCTGACTTCTCACCTTTTTATTTTTATTTAAGTGTGAGTGTGTGTGTGTGTGTGTGTGTGTGTGTGCGCGCGTGTGCGCGCGCGCGCACACACACACCTGTGCTTGAGCAGAGGTTTCTGCATCAGGTGTCTTCAAGTGCACATGCAAGTGCAGAGATTAAACGACAGCCTTACTTCTCTCCTTCTATCATGTGGACTCCAGGCATTGAACCCAGGGCATCAGACTTGGTGGCAAATTTGCCTTTACCCACTGAGCCATTATGTCAGCCCCTACGTCTTATTTTTTTTCTTTAGATTTTATTTATTTATTAGGTATACAACATTCTGCTTTCTTGTATATCTGCACACCAGAAGAGGGCACCAGATCTCATAAGGGATGGTTGTGAGCCACCATGTGGTTGCTGGGAATTGAACTCAGGACCTCTGGAAGAGCAGCCAGTGCTCTTAACCTCTGAGTTAAGAGCCATCTCTCCAGCCACCCCTACATCTTATTTTTTGAGGCACAGGCTGTCACTGAACCTAGAGCTCACTGATTAGTGATTTCCCGGACTAGTGAGCCCCATCTCCCCTTTCGGAGCTGAGGTTACACATTCACACAGCTGCACCGTTGATTACGAACTTGACAGCTTCTAGACTCACCTGGGAGCCGGGCATCAAGAGGGTGATCCTGATTAGGCTCACTGAGGTGGGAATACCCGCCCTGTGTGTGGGCTGCAGCATTTCATGGGTTGGTCCTGTGGATAGCAAGGAGAGAGGAAGCTAAGCACTGCAGTCTCACTCTGAAAACAGGTGTAGTGTGACCAGCTGACTTCAGGCTGCTTTGACTTCCCTACCGATATGGATTGTACTGGAACTGTGAGCTAAAACAAATCTACTTTTAATAGCAGCAGGAAAGAAACTAAGACCACATGGGTGCTGGGGATATGAACTCAGGTCCTCATGCTTGCCCCCCCCCCACTTTTTTCCTTTTAAAATCATTTTTAATTTGTTTAATTTTGGTTTTTTGACACAGGGTTTCTCTGTGTAGCTTTGGCTGTCCTAGAACTTGTTCTGTAGACCAGACTGGCCTCTGCCTCCCAAGTATTAAAGGTATGTGCCCCTACTACCCATAAAATAATTTTAATTTTTTTATTATTTCTTCTTATGTATATGAGTGTTTCTTGCATGTATGCATGTGCACTACATGCATGTCTGGTGTCTTGCAGAGGTCAGGGACTGGAGAGATGGCTCAGAGGTTAAGAGCACTGGCTGCTCTTCCAGAGGTCCTGAGTTCAATTCCCAGCAACCACATGGTGGCTCACAACCATCCGTTATGAGATCTGGTGCCCTCTTCTGTTGTGCAGGCAGAACCCTGAATACATAATAAATAAATCTTTTTATAAAAAAAAGCAGTGGGGGGGGTTGCTGTCAGATCCCCTGGAACTACAGATGGCTGTGAACTACTGTGTTGGTTCTGGGAACTAAACCTGGGTGATCTGGAAGAGCAACCAATGCTCTTAACTAACCGAGTCATTGGTCTCCAGTGCCACCACCCCACCCCTTTTCCTGATACCCAGACAGCCTCTTGTCCCTCCCACTACCATTCCCAGGTATACAGGGAAAGTTAAAGGACAAATTAGTAATATCATGTCTCAAAAAGCCAAAAGAGGGCTAGGCCACCCGGGCACAGGTAGAGACAAGTAGATCTCTGAATTCAGGGCTAGCCTAGTCTACATAGCTTTAGACCAGTCAAGGCTACTTAGTGAGATCTGATCTGGAAACATATGAAGACAACAAAGCAACAGAACCAGAAACAAAAAGGGTTCGGACGTGACTTGATAGTGGAGCACTTGCCCAGTGTGGGTGATGAGTCCCTGGATTCAGTTCCTGTTATTGAAGAAAAAAGGACACCCCACCTCCCCCCCTCCCCCACACACCATTAGAATTAGGGCTTTCCCTTTGTAGTTGAGTAGTTTTCAGTGTGCCTAAAACCTTGGCATCCTATCCAAGCACCATAAAGGATTAAAAAAAATTCTCTTCATACAATAGAAATTTGTCCCACAGCCAGTATACCTAGCCTAAAAACAAACATCTAATTGAGTCTGCTGTAATCTTAGTTGTCAACTTGACTAAAATCAGCCAAAACCCAAGCAACTGGCCATATCTGTGAGGTTTTCTTGATTGAATCATTTGAGTCCAGAAGGCCCACCCTAAATCCTGGTCATACCTTCTGGTGGCAGTCCACATAAAAGGACATGAGAAGGCAGCTTTGTCTGCTTGCCCTCACTCTCTGGTGAGATCATGTATCTTGTTGATGAGGTGTTCCTTCGCTGTGTTAGAACCTACTTCTTTGGGGTTCCAGCACAGACTGAGATCCAGCAGTTCTCCAGGAGTCCTCCAGTCCTCCAGCACCAGACTGCGAGTGCTGAGATATCCAGTGTTGGGAATCTGGGTCCTTGGCCTTTCCATCACGAGATAGCCATCAGGACTAACCCAGACCACAGCCTGTGAACCACTCCACTAAGTTCCCCCACTTTTTGTATAGATATGTGGGTTTCTGTCAATCCTGTTCCTTTAGAGAACCCTGACCAATACACGATACAACCCAGTTTTAAGTAGACAGAGCCCCTTTGCAGAGTCGCACACATTTTGGCCATCCCCAGGGTACGTTGCTAATTTTATGACTGCCAGGCCAGCTCAGGTCTCACTATGTAGTACTGGCTGCCCTGAACCTTCACTATGTTGACCAGTCTGGCCCCACTCCCCCAGCCCAGTGCTGGGATTAACAGCATGCACCTCTGAGCCTGGCTTTTGTTTTTTAACTTACTTTTATTTGCTTTTACTTTACCTGTATGGTTATTTTGCCTGTATGTGTATGTCTGTGTACCACATCCATGCAGTGCCTACGGAGGGCAGAGCAGGCAGAGGGGGTATCTGATGCCCTGGAACACGAGTTATAATAAACTGTGTAACAGAGGTGCCGGAAACCGAACCAGTGTCCTCTGGAAGAGCATCCAGTGCTTTTAATCACAAACTTTCACCATGTGGGTCATCAGGCTTGGCAGCAAGCACCTGTTCCGGATGAGGTATCTTTATGCAGTTTCCTTAGAACAGTTATTTTCCCCATGGAAATAACATCTTGCAGGCATGCTGTCAGGTGCCTTCGCCCATTCCTTCCCTAGGTCTCAAGGCAGGTGTGAGGGGTGGGGATGTCATGAAGAGGAAGCGAAACTGTTAATAGACAACAGATGTTTATTGAAAACAGATTGGTTTATTGACATCTAATCCCCTTGGGCCTCCCACCACAGACCACCCACTAAGAGGGCTTAGTCTCTAGATATGGAGGACTTTGCTCCTGAAGGCAGAAGGCCCAGTAATGGTAAGAAAGCCGCTTTCTGGGTAATTGACAATATGACACTGAGAAAGTAAGGATCACCTACATTGCAGGACCAAGGGTGTTTGGGGTTTTTTGTTTTATTTTTTTGGTTTTTCGAGACAGGTTTCTCTGTGGCTTTGGAGGCTGCCCTGGAACTCACTCTGGAGACCAGGCTGGTCTCGGACTCACAGAGATCCTCTTGCCTCTGCCTCCTGAGTGCTGGGATTAAAGGGGTGCGCCACCAATGCCCGGCAGGACCAAGGGTGTTAATAAGAGTAGGTAGCAATGAAAGGTGCCTGGGGCACCTCCTTTCACCTGCACCACTCAAAAAGGGAGACAGAATCGCGTGGGGCTCAGGTGGGGCTTGGAGCCTCAAAAGTTATTGTCAATGTTCCAGACGTCGCCACTCAGCGCATTGGCGGCCCCCTGCAGTGTCCACGTGAGCAGTGCCAACTGGCGCCGGAAGCGGCTCTCCTGGAAGCCCAACCCAGAGGAGTTAGCCTTGGAGCCATCGGAGCGCAGCATCCGAAGATGATCCAGCAGGGCACCCAAAGTGTGGTCACCTTGGCCCAGGAAGATGTGGCGGAATGGGGAGTCGGCCGGCGACACATACTGGGACAGGAAGTAGAACTCCACCTACATGAAAAATGAGAGAGGTCTGGATGCCAGGGTGTCTGCGGCTGAAGGCTCCAGTCACTCCTCCCCCCGACAGGTCCTAACCCTGAGGGCCTCTAGTACCTGTTTCGAGGAGGATGTACCTTGTACACATCATCATCTCTTGTGTGACTGTATATGTGTGTGGAGGCCAAGGTCAACAGCTAGTAAGGCCTCCTCAGCCATGCTCCACCATATTTTTTGAGAGAGGTTCTCTCACTGAACCTGGAATTTGCCAATCTGGCTAGACTAGCTGCTGGCCAGTGAGTCCCAAGCTTCTCCTTTGCCTCCTCAGAGGTCCAGGCATCCACCATGGAGCCTGACTTTTTACATATGTACTGGTGCTTCCCATTCAGGACCTCATGCTTATATGGCAAACGCTTTACCAACTGGGCTCTCTCCCTAGCTCTGTTGACTATCTAGACCAGATTGGCCTCAAGTTCACCATTTTATTTTATTTTATTTATTTCTTTTTCATTTTTTCTTTTTGGTTTTTCAAGACAGAGTTTTGCTGTGTAGCATCTCTAGCTGTCCTGGAACTCTGTAGACCAGACTGATCTTGAACTCACAGAGATCCACCTGCCTCTGACTCCCAATTGCTGGGATTAAAAGCATGTGACATCACCCCCTGGCAAGTTCACCATTTTCTTGACTCAGCCTCAGGAAGACCTGAGATTGTGGATTTATAGGTGTATACCGACTCACGAGCAGCACTTATACCTTTTAAAATGTCTGCTCAGGAGTCCATGTGTGCCCATGGCTTGGACCAGAAACTCAGTGGACACAAGTCACTTTGCCTCACCCGTCTGCCAGCATCAACTTCTTAAACAGCAGATTCAGGGGCTGGGGGCATGGCTTGGTGGTAGAGCATGATGCATTTGGTACCCACATTTCTTTCTTTTTTTGGGGGGGAGGAAGGAGTCAGGTCTCATCATGTAGCCCAGTCTACTTGTCTCAACCTTCCAAGAGATGGTAGTACAGACGCCTAGTTCTTTGGTCCTGGGGATGGAGTCCAGGGCTTCATGCATACCAGAAAGCACCGCACCAACTGAGCTACAGCCCTAGCCTGCTTCACTTTTTCTTTTTTCTTTCCTTTTCCTTATCTCTTTCCTTTCCCTCCCCCGTTCTCTTTCATGGCATTGAGCACAGGCTGTAGGGCCAGAGTCCCTCGTCTCTAACTTTGGCTCCATCATTTGATTCCTGTAAGAAGTAAGTTACTTAGCTTCTCTGAGCCTTAATGTCAGCCAGCACTACTGCCAACCTCACGGCATCGCTAGAAGCCCTGCTGTTGAACAAAATGAAACAACGTTGTTGGCCCCTGTTAGCTCTCAACAAATGCCAGCTGCTATTTTCATTATCGAACTCCTCTGTTTTCAACACCCTGCATGTGCGTTTTTTCCCACTAAAGGTAGCCCATCGGTCCAGGCGCCCCCTACAGGCTGGTCTCCAGGGCTCAACCTTCATGAAGTCCATTTCCTCCTCAGGCCACGGGTACTCCTACTTTGCCACCTCACCTCCTTGTAAGAAATTTTCATGATGCCTAGATTCACAAAATCCAAACTCCTGGAGGCACATGCCTGTAATCCTGGTTACTTGGAGGAATGAAGCAGATGGAGGATCAAAAGTTCACAGTTGGCTACAAATCGAGTTCAAGATTATTCTGGGCAACCTTGCAAGACTTTCAAAACATAAAAGAAAGCAGATTGAAGGGCTGGGGTGTGGTTCAGCGGTAGAGCCCCTGCCTAGAATTCCCCAGTGAGGGGCTGGGGTGTGGCTCAGCGGTAGAGCCCCTGCCTAGAATCCCCCAGTGAGGGGCTGGGGTGTGGCTCAGTGGTGAGGGATTTGTTTAACATTCACAGTACCCTGATTTGATCCCCACCACACACAAACACACAAAAACCCAAATTTCTTCAGCTATGCAAAGGTTCCCCATAACTGGTCCCTGTTCAGTGCTCCACAGCATCTCTTTTCTGGCTTTGGTCATCCGTGCACAGCTCCCAAGAAAGGCCAGGTCCATTTCCCTGCCTCATCCTCCACCCTGAAATATCCTCTTTTCTTTTCATCACTCTCATCAACCCATGTCTTGCCTGTTCAAGACCCAAGCCACACAGTCCAAAGCTGAGGTCAGCAGACTGTTTCTGCAAACAGCCATGGAGTAAAGACTTTAGGCTTTGTAGGTTAAACAGAAGACGCCGAAGAGGCAGGGCTTTCCTATCCGTTTTATCACCTGGCGGAGCCTGCGAAAGGGACAGGTTGGGTCTTCCAACCTGGCTGGTTTATGAACCCCGTACGACCGACCGTATAGCACACCCAGAAGACAGCGGAAACGTAGTTTTAGAACGCCGGGTCCGGGGACCGGTCCCCGGCCAGAAGGGGGCGGCAGGGAGCGGGACCTCACCCTCATGATGCGCACGTTGTACATGCGCATCAGACGCTCATCGCTCTGCTCGGAGCTGTAAATCTCCTTCCGCAACTTCTCCGCCGCCCGGATGTAGTCCCCCCTGGCTGAGTACACCCACTGCAGGGTCAGTCCGCGGGCCTGTAAGTGAGGCACAGTTTGAGACGACGCCGACGCCTGGGGTGGCGCCGACGCCTGGCGGGGGATGCAGGGGGGAGGCCAGGCCTTGGAGGTCAGAGCGGGCAGGGCCCAGGCTCTCGGGTTGCATCGGTGGTGTCCTCAGAGATTAGGTGGCTGGAGGTAGAAATAAAAAGGGGCAGGCTGCAGGACAGGACCTAGCCCTAGGGCGGGGGCAGCAGAAGCCTGACCCTAATGACGAAACTGGAAGGCTGGGAGCGGGACGGGCATCTTGGACCTTGAGGTCCCCGGAGAACTCATTGAAATTGCCGATGTGCCTGAGGACCACGTCCCCGTAGCGGCCGAAGTCGAGAGGCAGCAGGTGATCGCGGCTCAGTCGGATGAGGAGCTGGCCCGTAAGCTGAGCCACTGCCTGGGCCACGGCGGGCAGGCGACCTCGCAGCGTCTTGTGTAGATTCTCATAGGTGTCCTCCTTCGTGTGCAGGAATGGATACACCCGGTCTTCCTGCGGGGACACGGGAGGGCTGGGCGCAGGAACGTGGCGCTGACACGCCGAGGGCCTGCTGTGCTGGGGCAAGGGCTGGGGAATCTCACCTCCGTGAAGGAGAACTCCACAGCTGGGACCCCCGCAAAAGCCGTGAAGGAATATGCACTGCTGTCCATGGGCAGGGGCCGAATCCTGGGGCAGGCAGATGGGAGACCTCTGAGGACTCTGCTCCCTCTCAGCCTCCATCCACCCCCAGCCTCCGTTTCAACTTACACTTCCGCGTCCCAGTTGGGATTGGTGGACACCACTTGTTCATAGAGTGTCTGTCCACTGTGGTTAGGGGAATCCACCTGTGGTAGGATGAGAGGCATAAGTCACACTGTGTCCTCCTCGGCTGCACTACCACGGGCTTATCTGTCATCCCCAGTCCTAAGCCTGTCTTGCCTGCTTCAGGATATTCTCAATGAGGCTGATCAGGATGGGGCTGGTCTTGGCGTGAAATTTACCATCTCCTGAAGAGAAGGGAGGGAGGAACGACAGGCTCAGGGATTGCATTCAATGGCATAGGTGGACCTTCGGGAGGGCCAGGAGGTAACATTGCCCAGCTCACCCAACACTGAGTTGTCCAGGCTCACGTACACTACGGCTTTGAGGTGTAGCACACTGAGGTAGCCCTGTGGATCAGGAAAAAGCGTGATGAGGGAACATTCCCCCCTCCACCTCTCCCCATTACTTGGTTACTTGCCCAGAACCCCAGATCACCTCCAACCACTCCATGGATCCCACGCTACCAAAGTCACCTCCGTCCCAGCTGATGAACAAGAGACTTCTCCGAGGTCTGAAACCTACATGCAGAGGGACACACAGGAGGTCAACACCCCTTTCATCCTCCTCCATCCCTATCCCCAAAGGGTCTCTCTCTTCAGGAACCCAGAATCCTAGCCATCTCATCTTGGCTCCTTGCAGTGGCTTCTATAGATGCCACGTAGTTTTTAATTCATTTGTGTGTGGCGACACACCCGCCACAGTGGAGGGGAGTGGAGGTCAGAGGGCAACTTGCAGGAGTCTGTTCTCTCTGCCACCATGTGGATTCTGGGACTTCAGCTCAGGTTCTCAAGCGCCCACTGTTGCCATCTTGCTGTCCTTATTTGTTGTTTCATGTAGCTCAGGCTAGCCTCACACTCCCTACATGGTAAAAGATGACCTGCTTCCAACTCCAGGTGCTGGGATAACAGGCAAGGGCCCTGTCTGGCCTAGTCAATGCCTGAGGTCAACATACAAATGGATTTTACTGTGGCATCTTCACACACGTGTGCCCTTAGTCCCCTCCTCCTCTGTGCTCTTGGTTGTCCCCGAGATAGTGTGGCCCCTTTCTCTCCCTCTTTTCCTCCCCCCCTTCTTTCTTTCCAGTACTACAGATCAAACCAAGGGCCTCTTGAACGCTAAGTAAGTTCTCTACAACTGAATTGTAGCCCCACCTCTTAACTTTTTTTTTTTTATGGTTTTGTTTTGAAACAGGGTCTTGCTATGTAGTTGCAACTGGCCTCAAACTCACAGTGATCTTCCAGCACAGTACCAGGAGAAAGGCATGTGCCATTATGTCTGGCTTTTTTTGGTTGGTTTGGTTTTTGTTTTATGAGATAGAGACTCATATAGCCCAGGCTGGCCTAGAACTTGTTATGTATTTGAGAATTACCTTGAAATCTTGACCTTCCCTGTACTGATGTATTCACCTCCAGTAGCACTGACCACACCTTTTGGGCGTGGTCACGGGTTCGGATATGAGCGGTTAAAAGGAAAAGGATTGGGGTGGAGCCCCTTCCAGTCTCAGAGAGCATTGGAGAGCAGAGTCTGTCTCCTTGGAGCAGGAACAATGCGCAAGTTACTTATTGTTTTCCATGTAACTCATTTACTAATAAACTCCATTTCAATTATACTGGGTCTGGTGAATCCTAATTTCCATGCCTTCATTCCTGCCTCAGCCTCCAAGGGCCTGAATTATAGGTATGTCTGGCCAACTCATTATAAATACTGAAAAAAAAATATTTTGTGTGTATGTGTGTGCATGCATGCAATGTCATACGTGTGAAGATCAGGGGACCACTTTGGGAAGCTGGATCACTCTACCATGTGACATCAAACTCAGGTCATTGGACTTGGTACTTACTCACTAAGGCATCCTATTGATGAGGAAATAGTATATTAGTGAAGTTACTTGCCCAGAACCACACATTGGATACTCCAGTCATGGGGACTCTGATCCAAGTGACCTCTCTCCAGGATATGCTGCCAACTACCTTTGACCTAGGCCTAGCTCAGGACACAGCCCTACTCACCCAGGTCTTGGCTCTGACCTTACCATTGCTGACCATGGAGGAAAAGGTCCGCACCAGCTCCAGCAGGATGGCAGTCCCCACTGCAGACTTGGCCGCTCCTGGGCCCCATGCATCCCTCTGGGCCCCGATAACAACATAGTGATCTGAGGAAGATGTGTGTGGAGCCCACATCTTAAACTGACAAGGTCTCCCCATGTGGCTCTAGAGGGTGGGTGCTCCCAGAGCCTCGCTACCCCCCCCCCCCCCCCCGCTGTCACTGCAGCCAGCTTCCATGCTGTAGCCCCTCCTCTTCCCATAACCATAGCTTTCTGTCCCTGCTATGTCGGAAGACCATGCCCATCTCTCTTGGCGCCTTACTCACTAAGTCTGATGGTCTGATCAATCAATAGACATTTGGAGACACCCCTCCCCGCTTGTTCCTGAAGACAGGATCTCACATAACCCAGGCTGGTCTCAAACTCCTGATTTTCCTGCCCCCGCTTCCTCCCAAGTGCCAGGATTATGGGCATGCACCACCGTATCAGGTTGTATGAAGGTTTTTTGTTTGTTTGTTTTTTTGATTTTTTGCTTTGTATTCTACACTAGCCTTAAACTTCTGATTTCCTGTCTCTAGGTGTGTGCTACCACTCCTGGCTTGTTCCTCTGCTTAATATGGGCTCTTGAGGCCCAGGCTACGTAGTTTAGGCTGGCCTTGAACTCACTAACCTCCTGCCTCAGACTCTTGAGTACTTTGATGACAGATGTGAGCTACCATGCCTGACCAAACCCTAAGATCATTCTGGACTCCATCTGCTCCCTGGTCAGGCAGGTTCAGCACCGTCCCTAACCTGCTTTCCTCTTCCAGATCTTCTGTGCCCTGCTCCCTCCTCCAACATCCTCATCTGAGTGTCACCCCAGGTCTCTGCTTCTCTCTTGACATCTGAGCACAAGGGTTTTCCAGGTCTGTCCCACCCTGCCAAGTCTGCTCAGCAACCTTCGATTCCCACTACCAGACTCATCTGTCCAATCTGGCCCTTGTTTAATGCTTGGATATCTAGTATAACATCCAACACACAATTGCTCACCCCCAGTGTATGGGGAGCTCACTACTGAGCAATGCCGCCCATCTGGAGGGCTCTTTACTGCCACTCCTCATCAATCCCTCATCAGCCTCCATTCTCTGGGCATCACTCCTGGCCTTTCTCCAGGGCCTCCTGTATCAGTCCTTGCTGGTTGCTTAGGAGCAGAGCCTCCTAAGCTATGGGAGATGCTGGCCAGACAAGCCCACCTGGCTCTGCAAAGCCCTCGATGCAAGCAAAGATGTTACTAATAGGAGTAGAAGCTCTGTGATTGTTGACTACAAGGCGCAGGTCTGGCCCAGGTCCCAAGCGATAAGGAGAGCCTGAGAGGTTTCCTTTCCATTCCTGGGGGGCCACAGGGCCTTTGAGTTTCCTGGAAGGGAATGGAACAGAAAAGTCTTGAAGTGGTAGTGTGGCCAGAGCTGTAGAAGAGCCTTGGGCCGAATTCCATCCTCTCTTATTCCCACTGTCTGGCCCTAGAGTTTTGTCTCTGTACCTTGCCCAATAGGACAGTGCAGCCTGGGGCTGCCATGGACAGTGGTATAGGCTGTGTCCTGGGCAAGGGTCTTCAACACTTGTGGGTGTACCAGATGGTGGGGCCTGATAAAAGGTGAGCCCACCTAGAGGGTCCCTTCTTTTTTGTGTGTATGTACACATGCACATGTGTGTAGAAATGTGTGCGCCCACATGTGTAGAGAGAGACCGACCTCACATCTTGCCCTTAAGGACTAACCACTTTTTTGCTTTGGTTTGTAAGTTTACAATGCACTTTCTTGTTTGTGCATGAGTGTGCAACCTGTGTGCCGCACTGTATGTGTGAGACTTGGAGCTGGTCTTCCTGCTTGCTGCCAAGTGCCTTTATCCACTGAGGCATCTAGCTAGGACATTTTTTTTTTTTTTTACAGGATTGGCCCTTGGCATGAAGCTCACTAATTTCCCCAAGCTGGTTGCCAATGAGCTCCAGGGATCCACCTGCCTGCCCCTCCAGTTGGGGACTGCATACACACTTAGGTTTTATTTGTTTTTAACACGGGTTCTGGGATGTAAATCAAGTCCTGATTCTTGAGTGGCAAACACTTTACTGACAGACCTCTCTCCTGAGTCCCAGGGTCACCTTCTTACTCACCCAGGAACCCTTCAGCAACCCCCACCCCCACTCCATTTCTTACCTGAGCAAGCGGTCAGCAGTGTCTGCACTGATGGGCTGTGCGGGGATGCTGGGAAGGCCTGATGATTCTACCGGAGGGAACTGGGTTTGATTGAAGGAAGGGAAGCCAGGCGTGTAAGGGTCTCCAGTTCCCAGGTGCACCTAAAGAGGAAGAGGTACTCTTCAGAGAGCACTCTGAAGCTGTGGGCTTAACAAGCCCTATGTGTGTATCCCTGGACCCCACTCCTCCCGAGACTCACATGTCCATACACAGCCTGGTGTCTGGACAGGCCTGGCTTGTGAGGGTCCTGGGAGAAGTCTGCTGGGTCAGGGTATACCAGAACTCCTTGGGCCCCAAACTCCTGGGCAATGGCTACCTGAGGGAGTATAGAAAAGCAAGGAAAGGTAAAATTGTTCCTGTCATCTGCAGCTGTCATCCTTAAGGGACCGTGTGTAGATATCCCTTGGCACTCACATAGTAGCCCTCCCTCAGTGCCTCTGTAGCATTTAAAAACCTGTGTGCACAGGACTGGAGAGATGGCTCAGCAGTTTAGAGCACTGGCCACTCTTCCAGAGGACCTGGGTTTGATTCCCAGCACCCCTATGGAAGCTCACATCATCTATAACTCCAGTTCCAGGGGATCTAACATCCATCTGGCCTCCACAAGCACTAGGCACATAAGTGTTGCACAGACATACATGGAGGCAAAAGACACCACTACACATACTAAAATAAGCATTTTTAAAAACTTCTATGCAATCGGGGGTGGGGGTGGGGGTAGGGGGCAGTGGTGGCGCATGCCTTTAGTCCCAGCACTCGGGAGGCAGAGGCAGACAGATCTCTGTGAACTTGAGGCCAGCCTGGTCTACAGAGTGAGTTCCAATCCTGTTTTGGAAAAAAAAAAAAGAAAAGAAAAAGAGAGACAGGGTCTCGTTATGTAGCCCAGGCAGGTCTTGAATTCACAATCCTCCTGCCTCAGCTTCTTAAGGAGCTGGGGTTACGGGTTACATCCTGCCTGTCTTCTGGCAACATTTTTTAAAAATGTGCCTGATTTTTCTTTTCTCCAGGTGACAGCCTCCTAGATCCTTTCCATGAAGACACACCTGTTCCCTTGACCACGCGTGCCTCGCTTCACCAGCTGTCCTCTTTGGGACCCTCACCTTCTGGGCGAAGCTGGTAATCCCAACGCGCACTAGCAGGAGGCTGCGGGCCAGCTGCACGCCCTGGGCTCTCAGGTCCTGCAGATCCTCCTGCCGCCCGTAGTGGGCGTACACCAGCTTGCCCTGGGGACATAGGGATCTCTGAGGCACAGTGCCCTTATCCCCACTCGGTTACCCACCGAGGCCGTGATAGGTTCCCCATGGCGGGAGCCGGCCAAAGGCGCTCACCGTGGCGTTGCCGGTGGCGCTGTAGGGACAGTAGACTTCCGGATCCTCCAGCGGTAGCTGCTCCTGGGCGCTCCCGGCTGCATCCACCCAGTGCAGGGTGTTAGGGTGAGCCCTGAGGACCGGGAGGGTGAGCACCTCTGGCTGTGCAACCCCATGACCTGTTCCCTTGCCGCGTCCCCAGACTCACGGGTCTGGGAACTGAAGCCCCACGTAGTGCGTGTCAGTCCACACGTGGTCCAGCTTCTGGCGCGAGAACATTTCGAGGATGTCTTGGACCAGAGTGGCCATCCTGGGCGAGCCGGCCACGCGTTCCCGGAGGCTGGTAAGCCTGAGCAGAGAGAGATCACAGTGGGGGGTAGGGGTGCAGGAAAGTGACTCCCACATTCCCCCGCAGAAGTGGGAAAAACGCAGGCCTGGAATGACATCTAATGTATCCCAGGCCAGCCTCAAATTCAGGTAGAAAGCACTTGGGAGGTGGAATCAGGAGGATCGGGCTTCAGGACCAGACCTCACTCTGCTTCCATTGTCATCACTCAGCAAGACTGGTCCTATTCTGCCTTCTCACCTCGGGCATGTGCTAGCAAATCTGTTACCTTTGCCGGGGATTAAACTACCTTCCTCTTTCACCCAACTGTGGCCTTGGCAGAGACCTGGCCTATTCTGGAGTGGCCACATCTCCTCATCCTCCAGCCTTGTGGTGGAGGTACTCCTGCTCTCTACCGTGCTCCCTCCCTCCTTCCCTTCCTTGTAGGGCATTCTAGGAAATCACTTTATCACTGAGTTAGGGCAGTTACCCCAAAACCACCTTTACATTTTTTTCTGTTCTATTTTTAGACAAGGCTATGCTGAATTGCCAAGGCTAGCCACAGACTCACTTGAAACCCAGGTAGGCACAGAACTTCTGTTTTAGCTTTTGGATGAGTTGGAACCTAGTTCTCTCCTCCTACTCCTGGCATCCTGGGAATTAAACTCTGGTTGTTGGAGATGGCAGCAGTCACCTTTACCAGCTGAGCCATCTTGCCAGCTCCGAGCCTCACTTTTTGACTACAACTTTTGAGGTTCTGGTTTCCTCCCTTCATCCTCACTGTATTTGTCTGTCTGTCTGTCTGCCTGCCTGCCTGCCTGCCTGCCTGCCTGCCTGCCTGCTTTGTGGGGAAACATTTATGTTGGTTCACATTTCCATTGGCTCATATTTTCAGAGCTTTCAATGTATTGTCTTTTTCATTCCTTACTACTTTATAGAGAATGTGAATTTAGGAAAACTTGGCAGTAGGTAGCTCTACTCATTTCCTGGCTTTCATAAGATTTTGGGGGTTGGGGGGAGGACAAGGTCTCATTTGTCCTGGAAGTCACTATATAGTCAAGGACAGCCTTGAACTCCTGATCCTCCTGATCTCATCTCCCAGGTACTGGGACCACAGGTGTGAACCACCACATTTATGTTCATGTCATTTAGGGGCTGGATCATGGTAGGTGAGTGTTCTGTCACTGGAGCTATAGCCCCAGCCTCGATTGGAGAGCCTTCAGCATGATAGAGCCATGTATTTTTTAAACTTTTTAAAAAGATTTTATTTATTTATTATGTATACAACATTCTGCTTCCATGTATATCTGCACACCAGAAGAGGGCACCAGATCTCATAATGGATGGTTGTGAGCCACCATGTGGTTGCTGGGAATTGAACTCGGGTCCTCTGGAAGAGCAGTCAGTGCTCCTAACCTCTGAGCCCCAGAGCCATCTATTTTGATCAAGCTCCCTGTTGTGTGTCAAAAGACACACCATGATGTAGCTTGGAAAGGAAACACATGTGTCCAGATGACTGAATAAACACTGAAGACAATACTAGCTTAGCTTCGATCCTCAGTGCGGAGGAGGAGAAAAACCCAGGTGCACACCTATATTCCTAGCACTTGGGAGGGGTAAAGGGAGAGGATGTCAACTTTGAGGCCAGCCTGGGCTACATTACAAGACCTTGCCTGAAAAAAAGCTAAAAGAAAAACAAGTTAAATCAAACAAAATAGACAAAGGGCTATAGATGTAGCTCAACAGCAGAGTACTTGTCTACGAACATGCTAGGCCCTCGGTTCAACCCCTAGGACTGTAAACAAAAAAATCTGAAGAAGGCCAGTGAGATGCTCAGCAGCTAAATGGCACTTGTGGTCAAGCCTGGGAACCTGGGTTCAATCCCTGGGCTCTGTATGGTAGAAGGAGAGAACTGATTACTTCAAGTCCTTCCTTGTCCATCACACATGGACAGCAGCACCCAAGCACCATACCCTGATAATAAAGAAACAAATAGTTGTTTTAAAAAGAAAGAAAAAGAGAGAAGGAGGGAATGGAGAGATGACTCAGTGGTTAAGAGCACTCGATGCTCTTCCAGAGGACTTGGGTTCTATTCCTAACACCCACATGGAAGCTCACAACTGTCTGTAAGTCCAGTTCCAGGGGATCTGGCGTCCTCACACAGACATACATGCAGGCAAAACACCAATGCATATCAAATAAATAAATGAAAAATCTTTAAAAAAGAAAGAAACCCAAAGAGGAGCAACCAAAACAAAACATGTGGTTGTCTCAGTACACGCTGAAAACATACTTAAAAAAAATTCAAACCTATTTTTCATTACCTGATCATTACACAAAATAAAATTAAAATGTCATTTGCCTTTAAGAATTATATATTTTTTGAGATGGGAGGCTATCCTATCTCAATTGGCTAGCCTCTAATTTACTATGTAGCCAAGGATGTCTTTGGATTCCTAATCCTCCTGCATCTACCTCCTGACTGCTGGGACTACAGGCATATGCCACCAGGCCCTGGTCCCTCTGTTTTCTTTCACTCAGCTGCCTGCCTCCTAAATAAGCCATCTTCAATGTCACAGGTCCCTGAATACTCAGCTCCTGGTATCCTTCCAAAGACTGCTGAGCAGGGAAGCCAGAGAGGAGGGTGGAAAGACCCAAGAGGGGACTTGGGCAGCATGAGAACTGATAGGGCTCCCAGACTGAATTGGACTGGACATTGGGCCAGGCAGGAAGCCAGGCTACTCTTACCTGATGGTGTCTTCCAGGTGCCCCTCCCCAAGGAACCGAAGAAACATGGCCTGGAGGTCACTCCAGTACAATGTGCCCAGGCCGGAGTCAAGGCCCAGCTCCGAGTTGACATCCTCGCCGACCACCAACACGGAGTCCCCGCATGCCTGGCAGGACCCTCGAAAGGCCACATAGCCCAGGAGGAAGGCTGGCAGGTAGTAAGATGTGGGTTCCCTTGTACACCCCAGAAATGCCCCCAGCCCAGACCCCTCACTGAGGAGGAGGGAGGGATGACTCACCCCCAGTGAAGATCAGCAGGGCTGTCAGGATCAGATAGGGGGCAGCCTTTCTACCCACCGCAGCCCAGGGGATGGGAGCTGACCTCCCAGGACTGGAGTCTAAGGGCTCAGGGCCCTTGAGTTCCATGGGGCAGAACTGGACAGGGAGTTCAGCCCCTTCCTCCCAGTCTTCCTCTTCCTCCTCCAAGTGCCCCAGATCAGGACCTTCCACACGTTTATAGATGGTCTGAGATGGTCTCGGGGACCACTGTTGCTGTGTGGAGCGGGCAGGTAGGCATGAGATTAGGGGAAGGGGCCTAAGAGTTGGGGAAGGATTAGGCAAGAATGGTGTCTCTGACTTGGCCAGGAAGAGAGCTCTAAGAGGGAGGCTGGAGAGGAGAGACCTAAGGGGCATTGGGTGGGGCCGCCTTATGCATTAGGGAGGGGCCTGAGGAAGACCTAAAGTGTGTAAACACCTCCCCCCATGGTCTTACCCTTTTCTTCAGTAGACCCCAAAGTTGCTCCATGCTTGTGCCCCCTCCTGAACCCTGCAAGTAGTCCCCCCAATAATAAACCGTTTGTGGGAGCCCCAGAGGGCCCCTTATCAGCTCTGTCAGGCAGCCTGAACCTAGGCCGTTCCTCACCGCCTACCCATAGGGTGGGAGCACAGACTGGCCTCGGTCCACCCTTCCAGACACTCCCCACCCCCACTCCTGTCCAGCTCACACTAGATGACAAGGGGCTGTGTCTTCTCCTACCAATCCTCCCACAAACCCACTGCTGCCGGCTGACTGCAAAACAATCAATTTTTTTTTAAACCTCAGGGCAGACTTTGACCACCTTAGTTCCGGTCACAGGTTGGGGGAGGGAGGCTTAAAGTGAGGGGGAAGGGGAGATGCAAATAGGTCCTCCTTTTCCCGATTCCACTCTCTCTCGGTGTCCTTGGGGAACACCCCCAGCCCCCTTGGACGCTTCACTGTGAAAGGACCTGCTTCTTCCCGCCCCAAGCTTGCATCTGGTTTTTAGGTTCCTCTAAAAACCCGTTAGCTGATCTTCAGGCCCCGCCTCAGGCAGATCCCAAACTAGCGGCATCCTAGTGGGGTGACTTGGTGGTTTAATCTGACTATAAAGTTGTCTATCTTGGAATCTGGCATACATTGGTTGCTGGAGAGGGACGGCTATAAATGAGGTACAGGAGTCAAAAGGAACTCACGAGTGGGTCCTGGGGTCAGGAATCTCTATAAAAGTCCTGACCGAGCCACGGCCCTCTTGGGTCACAAAATGACTTAATTAGGTGTTTCTCTTTTAGGGTCTACGACTCTCTAAGAATTTGATAAAGAGCCAGAACCGCAGTTTAACCTCCAGTTTCAAATCCAAGCGGCGCCTGGGGCCTGCAGCTCTGAATGGGAGAGATCAGGGTCCACCTCCCCCTCACTCCCGTACGGGTCTCCCCTGGGAAACTGCAGGCCCTAACCAGGTCCAGAAAGATCTGAGCGGTAGGGGCTCACCAGTACCCCAGCCCCTGCCTCGTGCCTGCCAAATCCGAATCCTGAGTAGGAAGACACAGCAGCCAAGCTCGCTTTAGCAACAGGTTCCTGGGTTTCTTGGACCACGCTCCCCAGGAGACTCGAGGCTGCGCTTAGGTCACGCCCACTAGAACACGCCCCCAAGATAGCCCGCCCCTCATCCTCTTCTGGGGCAGCCCACCTTGCAACAACCCTGCTGGCAGTCCTCTCTTGTTACTTCCAGGGCCCTGATCCCACTGAAACCTAAGAATTCCGTGCCCCACCGTAGTATGAATATAGATGTGACTCTCTCCGGCCTCTCACCAGACCCGGGCGCCCCACCCCCTGTCCCCAAGGAGGTCAGATTCTTTATGTTCTTAAAACTTTTTTTTTTTTTAACTTATTTCAACTCAGAAACATCACAGTCTAAGAAGATGCAGGTAAGAGAAGAGAGGGCAATGGGGACTGGAGGGGTCAGCGCTTTTGGAGACCTGGCTGGTAAAGAATGCCCTCTGGCATCCGTTTCCCCACAACGCTGTGGAGGGGGTGGGTGGGTATTTGATGAAGGAGGAGTGGTCAACCTCAGGGGCACTTCCGCTCCACGCACTGCTTCCCTCCCTCCTCGTATTCCTGCTTGGAGATCCACATCTGCTGGAATGTGCCCTGGGAGAAAGGGGTAACAAGCTGTCAAGATAGCCCTGGCATCACCCCACACCCCTACACCACCACACCCATTCTTTCTCCTTACCTCCGTGCATTTCTCGCCTGTATCCCTCCTCCTTACTGGGAGATTTTAGGTCCTCTACCACTGAATCACGCCCCCAAACCCTTACTGGAGGATTCTAGGCAGGTGCTGTGCCACTGAACCACACCCCAGCCCCTCACTGGGGGATTCTAACCAGGTGCTCTACCACTGAGTCACACCCCAGCCCCTCACTGGGGAATTAAAACTTTTTTGTTCATATGTATGTGTGCCTATGTTTCACGTGGAGGACAGGGCAACCTTGGGTCAATTCTTCCTTTCCACTGTGAGGCAGTGTCTCTGCTTTGCCACTCTGGAGGCTAGCTGGCCCAGCAGCTTCAGGAGCCATTCCTATCTTCTCCCATTTTGTTATAAGAGCACTAAGCTTATAGACAAATGCTCTCACACTCAGTTTTATGTGGATTCTAGAGTCCCAACCCAGGTCCTCAAGCTTCTGCAGCAAGTGCTTTACCCCTTGGGCCGTCTTCTCAGGTCTTGTATTTATTTGCCTTTTATTTTGACAGAGGGTCTCACTGAGCTACCCAGGCTGACCTTGACCACTGATCTTCCTGCCCAGAGTAGCTGGGATTACATCTCTGTACCACAGCCAGCTCCTCATCATTCCAGCACCACCTGGCCTCCTCCCTGTCACCCACCCCTGATGCTCTTCAGGAGTCTGGTTCCCGGCATTTCACACTGTGTGCTCGGCTTCCACCTGAAGGCTGGTGTCTCCAGCTCATAGAGCAGCCTTCCTGGGTGACTTCATTCACTCCTGCCACTCCCAACTATTTCTTGACTACTACCTCCTGAATACCTTAAACTTGCGATTCCCGTAGCTGAACTTACTGTATTCCAGCAGGCTTTTTCCCTGACCTGTTCTCCTGTGGTCTCCCCTCCCCTGCCTCCTCTCTTCTCCTCTCCTCTGCCCTCCCTCCCTCTTCCTTTCTTTTTCCTTTCCCTTTCCTTTTCTGTTCCCTCCCCCAACCCCCCTTCTTTCAACAGGCTGACCTTGAACTCTATGTAGCTGAGAACATGAATTCTACCCCCAAAACCCACATTAAAAACAAAACAAAACAAAAACAAAAACTGGGTGTGCTTTAATCCTAGCACTTGGGAGACAGAGGCAGGCAGATCTCTGTGAGCCTTGTCTACAGAGCAGGTTCCAGGACGGACTCCAAAGCTAAGGAGAAACATTGTCTTGGAAAAAACAAACAAACAAACAAACAAAACAAAACTGGGCACGATGGCATGCAGTTTCAACCCCAGCACCAAGGAGGCAGAGACAGGCCCATCCTTGGGGCTCACAGGCCACACAGCCCACTCTACATCGGCCCTTTGTCATACCACGGGAAGACTCATGACACCCGTAATCATTACACCACTCTCCCATCCCAAATTCCAGGATGTCCCCTCTATGGCTGCCTCACCAATCTCTCTGCTTTCTGTTCCTCTGCTTCCTGTTTGTACCCTGAGGACACCCCAATTCTTCAGGGAGCACTCACTGAAAAATTTTTCCCATTTCAGGGCTGGGGTTATGTCTCAGGCTGGCTCCAGAAGCACGAGGACCTGAGGTCAGTCTCCGGAACCCATGTAAAAGTTCTGTGCTGTAATCCCAGTGGTGGGATATGAGTTTACCGGAGAGCCAGCCTATCTGAATCAGTGATTTCTAGAACAGTGAGAGTATCTGTCTCAAAAAATGAGATGGAAGGCACCTGAGGATCAACAGCTCAGTTTGTTCTCTGGCAACAGGGTGGTTCTATGTAAGCCAGGCTAGCCTTGAACTTGAAACCTCTTGTCTAGGCCTCTCTAGTGCTGGGATTACAGGTGTGACTAGGTACATGTTGTTGACTAAAAATGGGCAACCATCTCTCTGAATACTCAGGGGCATGACCTTTTGCTCTCACCAGTGAGGCCAAGATGGAGCCCCCAATCCAGGGGCTGAATTTTCGTTCCATGGTGCTGTTGCTGGCAATGAGTTTTAGCCGCATGCTCTGGGGGAGAAAAAGGGGTTGGGGGACATGGACATCTAGGTTCTAGGAAGGCAAGGGACAAGGCTTGCTAAGCAGGAGGGAGCCAGAGCAGCAGGAGCTCAGAGCATTTCCATGTAGAGGAGTCAAGAGGGGTTTGGGGTTGAAAGAACTAAGCCAGGATTGGAATCCAGGTGCTGTGACTGCAGTAGGGTCGGGTGGGCTCTTACCGGTGGGGTCTTCTGGGAAAGCTCCCGGTTAAGCCTGTCTGTGAAGCCCTGAAGCAGAGTGTTCCCGCCAGTGACAATGACACTGCCATAGAGACCCTGGGAGCAGGAGAAGGGTGAGCCTGCAGAGTAAAACCCTTCCCTTCCTCCATGTTAACCTTAGACCCCTTTGCCCAGCCTTAGGTTCTGGCCTCCCTCACCGGGCGAATGTCAATGTCACACATGCCGATGCTGGTGGTAACCACGTGACCCACTCCCAGCATGGTGTTCCCGGACAGCCCCTGTGGACAGAGATGATGTAGACTTTGGGGACTCTGCCTCCCTCTCCCCCAGACTCCTATCATCCTTCCCAGACTCCACCACCACACTTCTGGATCTAAGACTCCAGCCAGTCCCACCCCAACCAGTACCCGGCACCCAGCCAAACCTTGACATTGGAGGGATCAAACAGGCCCTCAGGGATTCGAAGTCTCTCAGCGCCATAGTCTGTGTTGTAGCCATTGGGCATTTCATAGTGCACAGTGGGCATTTGTGCAGCCACCCTGCCCAGGAAAGCAGCAAGACTCTGTGTGGCATGCTCGTGAAGGACTGCCAGGTGGGTGCTCTAAAGGTTCTCATGATCCCCAGTTCTGTCCCCCCACCTTTGGTTTTTGAAATGGTGTCTCATGTAGCCCAAGCATGCCTCCAACTCAATAATTAGCAGAGGCTGTCCTTGAACTCCTTATCCTCCTGTCTCTGACTCCCGAGCCATAGATGTGGGGCTGAGGATGCAACCCAGAGCTTTGTGCACAAGCTGAGCTATAGTCCTGGTGCCCCTCCCCCACACTTTGAACAGTGTCCTGCTATGTAGGCTGGGCTAACCTGGGAACTCTCCATCCTCCTGCCTCAGCCTTTCTGAATGCTAACATTACAGGAACTGTGGTGTGCTCATCATCCACTATACCCTCTTTCCCACCCTGCAGGGTTCAGCCCTACTCACTGTTCATCATAGGGGGAGTCAGACACCTGCAGCACGGAGGCCTGGAAGTCTTGGATCACCTCCTGAGGAGCAGGGAAGGGTGCCCTCTGTCTCCATCTCCAGCCCCCTCCCCCCAACTCCAGCCCACACTTTTCTAGTTATATAGCAGGAGGCCAGGGGCTGGTGGGGATGGGGAGGGGAGGGGAGAGGAGGGGAGGGGAGGGGAGCTCTTTTCAGCTACAGCCTCACATTACACATGTAGTTATGCCAGGACTTGGAGACTTGGGGTAACTTCTCCTTCTTCTTCCAGTTTGGGGGGGCTCCCTCGCGTACAGGTTCCTGTGAGGACACAGTCTATAAGTGTCCTTTCCCAGCTGGCACATGCCCAGCCCATTGGCACATCTGCTTCCCTAGCACTGGCCAGCTCTGCAGCTGACCAGCTGGGTCTCCAAGGAGCTGAGTACCTTCTCACCTAAGGGGGAAGTGAAGAGAGCCACAGGATGCCCCATATGTGAAACACACACTGCAAATATGATCCGAAAGGACTCAATCAGGGGCTAGGGATGGTGTTCAGTGGGTAGAGCAAGAAGCCCTGGGTTTCATCCCAGCCCCAGCACGCAGGACGTAGAGGCAGGAGGATTGAGAATGCAAAATCATCCTCAGTTACATTGTGAGTTTGAGGCCACCCTAGGCTATGTGAGATCCCACCTCAAAACACTGATTAATGGGTCCTTTTTCCTCATCTGGAAAGCTTTTGTGTGATGCTCTGGGTCTCGTGGCTCTTCCCTGGCAGAGGAATGACTCAAATCTGGGATTTTTTGTTCAGGTGCTTTATTTTATTTCTTTGGTTTTTCAAGACAGGTTTTCTCTGTGTAGCCTTCGCTGTCCTGGAATGCTATAGACCAGGCTGGCCTCGAACTCACAGAGATCTACCTGCCTCTGCCTCCAGAGTTGTGTGCCACCACTGCCCAGTTTCAGGTTTTTTTGATGTTGTTGTTGAGATGGGATTCGTTTCATCCAGCCTGGCCTTCATACAGCCAAGGTCGATGCAGCTGGGGATCCAAGTCAAGACTGCAGGTCAAGACCTTGTTAACTGAGCCACATCCCTTGCCCCTGTTTTTTTTGTTGTTGTTGATTGTTTTTTGGTTTTTTTTTTTTTTTTTTTGGCTTGTTGTTCTTTGTTTGCTTTTTGAGAGAGAGTGACTCGCCAGTTCACTATGCTTCCAAGGTTGACCTTAAACTCCTGACCCTCCTGCCTCCACGTCTCAAGTGCTAGGATTACAGATGTGCTTCACCACATCTGGTTTGAGAATCCGGATATGTCACACCCTAGATGGCATCCCGCCGGCCCTCACCTATTTGCCCTCAGGTGACCAGAGGCCTGTCTCAATCTCTGCAAAATGAGGAACTGGGTCCATGATCTTCTGGGGGATTTGCTCCACTATCTCACGGGTCAGGGGACTGATGAGCAGGACTATCGATGGCATCTCTGGATGCAGCAGAGGTCCTACCTTGGCTGCAATCATGTAAGGAGGGATGATGTCAATAGCCATCTCCTGGAAGAGTTCCCGGCACTGCATGGAGATGAAGTCCCCTGCCAGGGGTGACTTGACAATGCCTGAAAGAAGAGGCAGTGTCAGAACCAGGCTTCCCCATGCCACCCGGAAGCCCTGACATGGTCCTACCTTGCTGTAGGACATAGCCATCGTGGACTGGGATGGCTGTAGTATGGGTGGCCCCACTGTCCAGTACCAGGCCTGTGGAGCGTCCATTTGCAAAGCTATCATGAGATGGGTCAGTCAAGGAAACAGTAGCAGACAGTGAGAGAGGCAGGACCTGGGTCAGGCCTTGGTCCCTCTCTGTTCTCTCAGTGTAAAGCCAAACCTAGTCTGCAGATACAACCTTTGACTTACCTTTATTTTCTTTTTTGCATATGTACATGTTCGAGTGTAAGTATGTATGTGTGCCTGCATGTACATGTGTATATGCAGAGGCCCAAGGTTCATGTCAAGAGTCATCCTTGATCACTCTTCCACCTTATTCGTTCTGGAAAGTGCTCTCAATTAAATCCAGAGCTACTCTTGCTGGCTGCCACTTTGGGAGGCTGTATTTACAAGTAGTTCATCATACCCACCAGGCATATATGTGGGTTTCTGAGGACCCAAACTCTGGTTCTCATATTTGTGGCAATTGCTTTAATTGCTGAGCTGTCCCATGTGGGTGCTGGAAATCAAACCCAGGTCCTCTACAGGAGCAGCAAGTACTCTTAACTGCTGAGCCATTGCTCCAGCCCCCCAACACAACACACACACACACACACACACACACACACACACACACACACACACACATCTCTCTATATATTGGAACTCATTATGTAGTTCAGGCTGGCCTTAAACTAAAGCCTTGGTCTCCCTAGTGCTAGAATTACAGGTCTGTATTTCCTAATCCAGTTTATGTGGAGCTGGGGACCAGAGCGTCAGACATGCTAGGCCAACTGGTCCTCATCCCCAGCCCCTTGTTCTTGGTTTTGGTAGTCAAGGCCTTCAATTTTCACTTCATCTCTTTAAGTCCTTTGAGTGCTGGGTCTCCAGATGCATGTGGTCCTGTGTCCTGTGGACTCCTTGAATTGGGGTCCCTGTCACCCCATACTTAGCAGAGTTCAGTGTACCACTTTTTCTGAAAAAAAAAGACAATGGCCAAAATTGGCCATTTGGAAAGGAACCACCTCCATGCCCAGTCAGCACCTGTTGCTCCCCCACCCCTCCTGCTGAGGTTGATCTAAGGGGTAAGGGAAGGGCCACTGACCTGCTCCCCTCCCCCAGTCTCAAGCCTTCAGCCTATGGGGCTTTCTGCACTAGTGAATTCAAAGACATGTCTTCTCACAAGATAGTGATCTCCAGGGAACCAGCCCAGCACCACCCAGCTCAGCACACCTCACACACCCCACCCTGGCCCTCCACCCAGCAGAGCTGCCCAGCCAGAGGATACGCTGTGAGCACGGCTGTCTTGCATAAGAAGAAGGCAGGAATGTTGTACTGCTCAAACATCAGCTCTGTCAACTTCTCCCGCTTGGCCCGTGTGTTCCACTGTGAAGAAAGCACAGGAGGGGAGGGGACCAGATGGAGGCACAGCCAGAGTGTGTGTGAGTGTGTATATGTGGTGTGTGTACCTCCACATGTGCAGGCATAAACAGCAACACATGCACTCATAGGAATGAGCACACATATATAGATATTCCTATACACACATTTTACATGTATGTATGTAAATAGATGCATGAATTCACAGACACAAATATGCACACATATATAGACATTCATACACACATCTTACATACATGTATGTAAATAGACACATGAATTTACAGACACAAATATGCATACGGATGCAAACACTCCCATACACACATTCACATACAAACACATACACATATGCAAACATACATACACGCATGCGTGCACATACATATATACACATAACTTAGACTAGGAAACAGGTCAGGGCGCTTGGCCCACATACACCTTTATGATATAAGAACTATAAGGAGCTTTATTTGATTTTATTTTGTTATTCTGGTGTTAAAACTGGTGGTCTGGCGCATGCAAAACAAGTACTCTAACATTGATCTGTATCCTCAGCCCTATTTTGTTTTAGTCTTCAGTTTATTTTGACACAAGATCTAGCTGTGTAGCCCAAATTTGCCTCAAATTGTTGATCTCCCTACTAGGGTCTTCCAAGTATTGGTGTAACAGTTATACATCACCATGCCTGGTTAAGAATGCCATTTTCCCATTTATTTATTTGTTTATTTAGTGTGTGTGTTCGTGTGTGTGTGTGTGTGTGTGTGTGTGTGTGTGCGTCTGAGCTCGAGTGTGTGTATCTGTCTGTCTGTCCATCTCTCTCCATGCATATGCATAAAGAGGCCAGAAATTGAATAAGATCCTCCTCAACCACTCTCCACCCTAGGTTTTGAGGCAAGGTTTCTCACTGAACTTGAAGTTCACCAATTTTGCTAGGCTTGCTAGCCAGCAAACCCCAGGGAATCTCATCTCACCTCCGCAGAGCTGGGGTTACAGTGTCTGTTACTGAGCTCACAGGTACTATGGATTGAAGACAGGTACTCAGGCTTCTGGGGAAAATGCTTCCCCCACTGAGCCACGTCCCTTTTGTTTTTGTTTCATTTTGTTTTGTTTTTCAGACAAGAACCCCTGTAGCCCAGGGTGGCCTTGAACTTGATAGTAGTTAAGGATGTTATTGAACTTTTGATCCTCCTGCCTCATCTCCTGAGTACTGGAATTGTGGCCATGCAGTTTATGTGGTGTCAGGAGTGGAAGCCACAGCTTTCTGCATGCTAGCCCAGTGCTCTACCAACTGAGCTACAGCCTTGGTCCCATACAGCAGCTCTTAGCAGGGCTGGATCTGGAGTCTCCATCCTTCCATGCCTGGCTTGGTGCTCTTCCTTGTATACACTCTACACCCCAGCCTCTTTCAAGTTTCTGCTCCCATCCTAATTGTGTGAGACACCAAGATGATGATTTCTGGGTAACAGCGGGAGACTGAATACAAATACCTAATTTTTCATCTCTCAAGATTCCAGCAAAAACAGGGACATTTTAAAAAGACAGAAACCTACAAAAGCCAGCATGCACATAGAGAGATGTGCCACTAGGGACATGCAAATCTGGCATCATTAGTCACTGGAGAAATGCAAATCAAAAGCATAACAAGGTCCTACTTCACACCTACATAGACAATGTTGGTAATTAAAAACCAGAAAGGCGGGGCTGGTGAGATGGCTCAGCTTGTAAAAGTGCTTGCTGCCAAGCCTGATGCTTGGGTTGGATGCCCAGGATCCACATCATGGACAGAGAGGACCAACTCCTGCACGCTGTTCTCTGACCTCCACATGTGTGCCACAGCATGCAGGTGCCAACATACATACACGATCAGCAAATCAATGTCCCCTATATAAAAACTAGAAAGCAGGGGCTGGAGAGATGGCTCAGCGGTTAAGAGCACTGCCTGTTCTTCCCAAGGTCCTGAGTTCAATTCCCAGCAGCAGAATGTTGTATACATAATAAAAAAATAAAAAAAATTAAATTAAAAAAAAAAAACTAGAAAGCAACATGCTGATGAGAAATTGGGACACTCTCATCCCTGGTAGGGCCATAAAAGGGTTCAGCCACTGCAGAATGTAGTTGTTGGTCCCTCAAAATATATAATAGAGAAGTTCTACAGGACCCAGTGACTCCAGTTCTGGCTATGTACCCAAAAGAAATAAAAAACAAAGGACTGGAGAGAAGGCTCAGTGGCTAAGAACACTTGCTGCTCTTGTCAAAGATCCAGGTTTGGTTCCGAGCACAAATATAGGGGTTCACAACGATCTTTAGGGATCCTATGCTCTCTTCTAGCATCCAAAAGCAACAGGCACACCCATGTGCACACACGTACATGTATGCTAAATGCACATAAAATAAGACGAATAATCTTTTTTAAAAGTGAAAATAAGTACTAAAGGAAATCTTGGCACACAAGTGTCAGTCACAACACCTTTCACAACAGCTGGTGGATGGCTGGGTACGTAAACTGTGGTATGTCTTTGAAGGGGAATATTACTCACCCACAACAAAAAATGAAGTGATGACAAGTATTACGATGCAATAACATAAAATATGCTAAGAAACAGATGCAGGTGCAAGACAGCAGGCAGCTCCGTGGTGGCAGAAGGCTTATCGTGCCAGCCTCATAGCGTCAATCCTCACGCCCCAAAAAGAGTATACAGACACTAAGAGTCATGTTGTGTGATTCCGTTTTTATGAAACGCCCTGAGCAGATATCTGTATAGGGATGGAAGCAGCCAAGTGATGCATAGCCGTTATCCCAGCCCTGAGGAAACTGAGGCAGGAGGACAGTGACTTTGAGCCTAAACCAGGTTCTGTAATGAGTTCCAGATCGCACAATAAACTACTTAACATTTGGGCTGTGGTCCACTCAAGCTCCCCAAGTGGGTTCTTCAGAGTGAGTCAATCTGAGGGTCCCTGACCCTTGACACAGATGGAAGTGAAAACATTATACTGAGATCACCATGCATTTTGAGGACTGCCCCCCCCCCACCGCCCCATGTCTTCACTGGGCTCCAAGAAACAAGCAATCAGACAAATCTCTGGGATAGAAATATGTGATACCACATTTAAACATTAGAGGTTGCAGAGATGGCTCAGCTGTTAAGAGTATCTGCTGTTCTTGCAGAGGACCCCTGTTTGGTCCCCAGCACCCATGTGGGACAGCTCACAGCCAGCTACAACTTCAGTTCCAGAGGATTTGACTTTTTCTGGCCTCCAAGGGAACTTGTACACATGTGAGCATACCCAAAACCAGACACATTTGCATACACATAATTAAAAATAACAAATAGGGCTGGAGAGATGGCTCAGAGGTTAAAAGCACTGACTGCTCTTCCAGAGATCCTGAGTTCAATTCCCAGCAACCACATGGTGGCTCACAACCATCTATCATGAGATCTGGTGCCCTCTTCTGACGTATAGGCAAACATGCAGACAGAACACTGTATATGTAATAAAAATAAATAAATAAGTTTAAAAAATAACAAATAATCTTACAAAATAAAACAAATGTTTTTAAAATCAAAATAATGAATTAGCTGGGCAGTGGTAGCACACACCTTTAGTCTCAGTACTTAGGAGGTAGAGGCAGGTGGATCTCTGTAAATTCAAGGTCAACCTGGTCTACAGAGCTAGTTCCAGGGTAGCAAAGGCTGTTACACAGTAAAACCCTGTCTCAAAAAAATCTCATTAATAATAATAATAATAATAATAATAAATTAGTTAATTTAATTAAAATGCAATTTAGGACTGGAGAGTTAGCTCAGCAGTACTTGTAGCTCTGGCAGAGGACCTGGATTCGATTCCTGACACTCCCATGACAGCTCACAATCATTGGTAACTCCAGTCCTAGGGGATCTGACACCTTCTTCTGACCTCCAAGGGCACCAGGCACACACATGGTTACACATATATACATACATACATACATACAAGCAAAATACTCATATACACAAAATGATTTTTAAAAATCTAAAAAATTTCAATTTAATTAAAACATTTACAAAGATGCAAAAGCAGAGATTCTCCTCAAAATTCTCTCCTCAAATAGTCTCATAGCCAAGAATACAGCAAGCCCCATGCTCCTTACACAGGGATTCTCTCTCTCTCTCTAAAGTCTCTAAAATAAAATGGATGCCAAAATATGGCAGGAAAAACAGTGTGGAAGAAGGAAGATTCCTAGCAAATTAGTGATATCTTTAGTAAAGGAACATTATATCGGACCCATGAAACAAGAGCAAGATACTCCAAAAAAGAACAGTCATAGGGATGTGTCTCAGAATTCTTGAGGCTCTAATTTCAATCACCAGCATCCCCCTAGGAAAATAAAAATAGCCTTCAAATGTTTTCAGGCTTCAGTCATTTAAAGAGAAGGGAATTGAACATTCGTGGAGAGTAATAAAGCTTGTAGAGATTAAGGATACAAGAGCAGATATGATAAACTCAGGAAAATGGTTGGACAAGACAAAGTCTTGGAAATTAGAAGAAAAGGCAATGATAAAAACAGGAGGACCAATGTGGGTGTCAGTGAGGAGACCTCGGGAATCTATGGGGCCTCCATTAGTAATCAGTGTTTATCCCTAGCATAGGAATGGACTTTGGGAGCCCATCCCACATGGAGGGATACTCCCTGGGCCTAGACACATGGGGGTGTGCCTAGGCCCTATCCCAAAGTATATGACAGACTCTGAAGCCCCCCCCCATGGAAGGCCTGACCCGCCCTGGGGAGCAGAAAGGGTATGGGATAGGTCCCTATCTATACCCTTAGTTGGGGGGGGGCATGGGAGGAGGGGAGGGAGAGGGAACTGGGATTTACATGTAAAACAATCTTGTTTCTAATTCAAATTAAAAAATGGAGAAAAAATTTGAAAAAAGAAAAACCAAAAAAACAGAAGGGCCTGGTCGTGGTGACACATGCCTTTAAGCCCAGCACTCGAGAGGCAAAGGCAGGCAGATCTCTGTGAGTTCAAGGCCAGCATGGTCTACAGAGTGAGTTCCAGGAAATCCAGGGATATTTCACAGAGAAACCCTGTCTCAAACAAAACAAAACAAAACAAAACAAAAAACAGAAGGGAAATTACAAGAAAATTAGGGGACCAATTTAGGGGTTGTAAATTATAAGCAATGGGATTTCCCAAAAGTGGAAGCAAAGGAAATGGAGAGAAACAAATAGTAAAAACATAATTTATTTTTTTTTTACTCAATGGGTCAATGGATGCTTGCCACCAAACCTAATGACCTAATTTGATTCCCAGATCCTACATGGTGAAAGAGGAGAACCAAGTCCTGCAAGTTGTCCTGTGATGTCCAATATGGCACTCAAACATATACTCACAAACATAAACAAAAAACACAGTTACACTCATAGGTAAGACAATGATATAAATTTTTTTTTCACTTAACTGAAAGGCAGAGGTTTCCAGAACAATTTTTTTGTTTGTTTTTTGTTTTGTTTCTTCAAGACAGGGTTTCTCTGGGTTACCCTGGCTGTCCTGGAACTCATTCTGTAGACCAGGCTGGCCTTGAACTAACAGAGATCCACCTGCTTTTGCATCCCAAGTGCTGGGTTTAAAGGTGTGTACCACCACTGCCCTGCCCAGTGCTTTCCATGACAATTAATGAAATATGCAAAGTCATTAAATGTCATGGTGAAGTTTTATAACACTTAGAATGGAGTGAAAAATTCTGCTTTGGGGGGGAAAAATGCAGTATGATGATTCTAGACTTCTCAATATCAATGGTAGACATTCATGGAAAGCAGAAGGCAAGGCTTTCAAGAACTGAGGAAAAATGTCTTCCAACTTGGAGTTTGATACCTGGCCAAACTATCAATGCAGTCTCAAAGGAAATACTTCCTGTGAGCTAAGTGGTTGCTGAAGGATCTGCTCCATGAAAACAAAGGTGTGAATCAGGAAAAGGAGTCAAGTCATAGATGCACCCACTTTTCTTAGAAGAAAAACAAGGAGATTCTGCTAGGTAATGCTGAAGAAAGATGTTAGTATAACAGCTATTTCCCAAATTTAAGCCAAAGTGGAATGTGTCAGTGGCCTCCGAGAGGGATTTTTTCAGTAACACTAAATTAATAGAATATATCATGGAATTAGTGTCTTGAGAAAATACATAGATATCTGATGGGTAACTTAGGATTACATTGATAAATAGAAAAATTAAGTAAAATAGAAACAATTCTTAGATCTGGGGAAGACAAAAGTTGCATGAGAATGAAAAAATAACCATGCCCGAATCAGCTCTTACTAGCCTGTAAGATATAAAAGAGTATAAACTCAGATTTTTTTTTTTTTAAATTGACACAGGTTTCTCTGTGTACCAGCTCTAGCTGTCCTGACACTTGCTCTGTAGACCAGGTTGGCCTTGAACTCACAGAGCTTCCCCTGCCTCTGCCTCCTAAGTGCTGGGATTAAAGGCGTGTGATACCACCACCCAGCTAGGGCTAAGGCTTCTGAGAGAGACTCATGCTCCCATAGATAGTCTCACACCTGTGTACACAGAGATGGTACTAAGTGGGCAGCACTAAGTGAACCCAGTCTGTCACTAAGTGGACCTAGTCTGTTTTGCTTGCTTGTTTGTTTTTTAAAGGACATGAATTTGGGAGACAGAAGGTAGGAGAAATTAGGGGAGAACTGATGAGAGAGACGTGGTATATTTAATAAAAAACATTATAGGCATGTATGAAATTCTCAACAACAAAAAAGATATATGAGGAGATAGGTATTTTGTTTTTGTTTTTGAAACTGAGTCTCTCTTTGTAGTCCTGGCTGTCCTGAAACTCATTATGTAGTTGAAGATGACCTTGAATTGCTGGTCCTCCTGCCTCTACCTCGAGTGCTGGGATTACAGGCTTAACCTTTCTTCCTTCAGTAGTGGGGGCTGAACCCGAAGCCTCGTACATTCCAGGCAAGCACTCTACCAAGTGAGCTACATTAGTAGGGTTTGTTTATATAACACTGACCAAAAAGTTAAGTATATGTGAACAACAATAGGCAATGGAGTGGATGGAGCTAGAAGAGAGAAGGCAGAGATGGAGAGTAAGCCAGGGAGTAAGACATGTACGTGGTTGAAGACGACAGGGTGAGAAGGAAGATTCTGGAAAAGAAGGCGGAGTGACTGAGAGTGGTATCTCCAAGTTAGAGGTGATGGTGGAAAGGATGTGTCACCAGGGACCCCGGGCCGATGCGGGTCTGGATGAGGCACTCACCGGAGCCTCCGACATGAGTACTGGGTGCAGATTTGGCTCGGACTTGACATGTTTGCTGTAGGTATGATCCAGGATGGCTCTGAAGCACTCCCAGTCCTCAACTGGGACATAGGGCCAGCGTTGAGAGGCAGATAGGACGGTGGGAAGGAAGGCAAGGGTCAGAGACAGGAAGTAAGGGAGGGAGGGAGGCCGAGTCTGGAGGAGCTGAATCCAACATCAGCTGACAAGTACCCCCTCCCTTAAGTTCCAGAATTCTAGGGGGTTCTGGTCTGAGATCCCTGTAGGGAGCAGTGAGGAGGTTCTTGGGGCTTGGGCAGCATCAAATCAGACTCTGTGGATGTGGAGATCTGTGTCCACACGTGGGAGGGGGGAGCTCCGAGTCTGTTTCAGAAAGTGGTGTATGGGGGCCCCTTACTCATGCCGTTCTTGAGGGGCGACATGACTTCCGCTCCATCCCGAGGCACGTGCAGGGCATTGGTGTCGATGTGGAAAATCTTCCCTTTCTTCTCTTTCTCCCCCTCCAGCTCCAGCCCACCCCCCTCTTCTGCGGCCAGCAGCCCCACAGTGGTGGGGAAGTCAGCCTGGTAATGAGGAACAGGAATGGGGAGTCGGGTTACTCCCTCCTGTTTTGGAGATAGGATCTCACTATGAAGTCCCCAGCTGGCCCAGCACTCTTTGTAGACCAGGCTGGTCTCGAACTTACAGAAAACCGAATGTCTCTGCCTCCAGAGGGCTGGGATTAAAGGAATGTGCCACCATGCCCAGCTGGATCCCTTGTCCAACTGCACTCAAGACCCTCGGCCACCCCTGGGCTTCCTCCCCTGTCTGCACTCAGGTGAGCTACTTGCATTGAACTGTGCAAGCCTGTTCATAGGCCGACCCACCTGGCAGAGGGTATCCCAGCCCCAGGGAATTGGGGAGGGACTGGAAGGCTCACCTTGGGGCAGTCCTCCCCAGCGTACCCAGCTCGAACTGAGAAGGAGCCAATGTCAAAGACGAGCGCCCCCACCTCATCTGTACAAGGAGACAGGTGTGTGAGGAGACCTCTCCCAAACTGTCCCCCTAAATAGCTTGGAGAGGAGTCTGGGGGTACAGCCACAGTTTGAACTTCAGCATGGAGCAGGTGGGAGATCCACCTGGACTTCAGGGCGCCCTGGAAGTGGAGGGTCAAAGCCACCATAGTTCCCTCTTGCCTAGTGGCCTGGCAGGGGAAGGACGTTCCAGGGGCTGGGAGGCAGTGCACGCTTGGGAACCCCAGGAGGGGTGGAAAGCAGAAGTCGTGGGAGACCCAAACCTCAGGCTGGACCTGATGCAGCACGGAGGTGACAGGCCCAGGGATGCTCAGGGCTCGGGACGCGCGGGTTCGGGATGCAGGGCTGCAGACCAGGCCGAGAGCCCGGTGCCCCAGGCCGGCGCCCCCCCTCCCCCGTAGACGCCCCCGCTCATAGTGCCCTCTCTACGCGGCTGGCTCGCGGCCCGTGGGCGGCGGCGGGATCAGCACCGAGGTGGCCGGACAGCTCCCGGGATCCCGGGCGGGGCGGGGCGCAGCGGCGACCAATCAGGAGGCTGCATTCCCCGCCCCCAACGGCGCGGCCGATTGGTTACAAAGAGAGACAATAACCCGGCTGGGGGCCGCCGCTTTAAAGGGGCAGCGGCTTCTTTATGCCGAGGTTGGGAGGGAGTAGGGTTCCACTGCAAGAACCCTAGAGGCGGGCTCAAGACACAGACAGTAGGGAAGAGAAGCAGATTCGAACTCCACAGGGTGACGGATGGGATGGGATCCCCTGATTTCGTGCCCCCCCACCCCGTTTCCTTAGTGTTCTTTATTTTTTAATTTTTAAAAAATGCAATTGAAGGAGAGGTCGCAGAACAGTCCACCCCCAGACTCCCGAGCCAGTCTAAATGCAGAGAAATGGGAGGATAGGGAGAGGGACCAGAGAAGTATGTCTCTCCGTCTCTCCATCTATCCCCGACTTTCCGCCTTTGTCTTTGGGCTTATTCATTTATTTTGTAGGCCAGGCTGGCCTCAAACTCACGGAGAACCACCTGTCTCTGCCTCAGGTACCATAACAACTGGTTTATTTTCTTTTATCTGGGGCAGGGTCTTGTGTAGCAAGGGGTAGGCTCAAACTCACTATGTATCTGAGGGTGAGTGTCTTAGAGCTTGTGGTCTCCCCACCTCCACTTCCAGAGTGCTAGGATTACAAAGTCTATGCCAACACCCAGTTTGTGACGCTCAGGAGAGGGAGCCCAGGGCTTCACTCTTATTAGACATGAACTCTGCCAACTGAACCATGTCTCCAACTCCTTCTCTTTCATTTTTCTTCTCTTTCTTTCTTTCCTTTTTTTTCGAGACAGGGTTTCTATGTGTAGCTTTGGAGCCTATCCTGGCACTCGCTTTGGAGACCAGGCTGTCCTCGAACTCACAGAGATCCGCCTGCCTCTGCCTCCTGAGTGCTGGGATTAAAGGCATGCGCCACCAAAGCCCTGCTGTCTTTCATTTTTTCTAATGGCTGCTTTTCCTTCCTCCATTTCCCAGATCCTTGACCTTGTACATAACATGTAATATAACATGTGTGTGCACATGTTTACATGGAGGCACTAGGCTAACCCAGCAAGCCTTTTTTAATTGTTTCTTTTATTTTTGATATTCTAATACATTACATCATCACCTCTCTTTGCCCCCCTTCAAATCCATGGCCTCTTTTTTTTTGTATGTATATACATATATATTCCTAAATATAACCAATTTGGTCTGTATGTGACTTGTATGTACCTTTTCAGGCCCTGGAGAAGTGTAGTGGCAGATGCCTATCTTTCCAGCATTTTGAAGGAGATGGCAGGATAGTAAGTTTGAAATGATCTGTGCTGCATTGGACTTAGAAACCTTGGGTCAAATAAATAAATAAAAATTAAAAAAAGAAAGAACAAAACAGAACAAAAAAGAAAAGAAGTTGAGGAGATAACCCAGTTGGCAAAGCAGGAGGACCTAAGTTTGAATCCCTAGCTCTCATGTAAAACTCCAAGTATATCAGCTTGTAACTCCAAGGTGGGGACAGGTAGAGGTAGGAGGGTCCCAAGGGGTTTGCAGGCTGGTCAGTCTCACTGAATCCATGCTCCCCAAGTTCAGTGAGAGAGCCTGAAAAGGATGACTGAAAAAGACATTTGACATTGGCCTCTGTCCTACACACACACACACACACACACACACACACACACACACACACATGCGCACACCCAAACACTCAAGTACATACACACAGAACCCAACACATACACGTGAAATCCATTTTCTGAAGGGTCCCTAGGTTTTTGTGGGCCCCTGGCACCACTGACATATCAATTTTGACAGTAACAGTTAAGGAATGACTTTGATAGCCTGGAGTAGCCAAGAGACTCTAGGTGAGCCACATGTCCATGTATATGTGTTTATGTGTGCTAGCATTTGTGCACATAGGTGTGTTGAATGCATGGATGCATTGGACACGCTCCCACCTGCTGCCAGAGGCGGCACAGGAAGAAGCGACAGCCATGTATTTATAGAAACCTCTCTACTTACCACATGCTCTCTGTGGAGGGTGAGTCACGTGTCTGCCATGAGATTTGGGCATTGGAAGATTTGTTCCTCAGTTGATGGCTGCTTGGGGAGGATTAGGAGGTGTGACTCGAGGAATTCTATCTCTGGGAGGAGAGCTTTAAGGTGTCCAGATGTGAGCTCTCAGCTGCTCCTGCTGCCATGCCTCTGCTCAGTCAGTCACCATGGCCCAAAAGCCTGACATCTCTAAACTGCCTTGGTCACTTATCACTATATCACAGCAATAGAGAAGTGACCAATATAGCCACTCAGTGGTGGTGCATGCCTTTAGTCCCAGCACTCGGGAGGCAGAGGCAGGCAGATCTCTGTGAGTTCGAGGCCAGCCTGGTCTACAGAGTGAGTTCCAGGACAGCCAGGGCTGTTACACAGAGAAACCCTGTCTCGAAAAACAAAAACCAAACAAAAAAACAAAAGAAAGCAAATAAACAAAAAAGTAATCAATGCACTCACTATGAAATAGACCTCACCCTTCCCAGCCAAAAGACAGATGAGTTAAGCTGCCTGGTTGGTTGTTTGCTGGTGACAGGCAATTTCCCTGACCAACTGCATCTGACTTCAGATCTGGATCCCTGGATGGGACAGATTCAGGTGTCACTGGGGGTAAAGGGACCTGCTCCCCCTTCGGCAGCCATAACAGCCGAACACGTGCTTGCCATAAACCTGCCTTGGTCACTTAGAGGTCAGATGCCTGTCTCGTGACAAGGAACCAATCAGAAGTTAGCTGGTGGTGCTATGCTTTATGACTCTGGGGGTGCTTTACGGGCAAGTACACAGCAATGACTTAGAGAGCATAGCAGCCACCCTGGTTGGGCCTATGGGCCATAACAACCAGTAGACCAATCAACACAGGGCAAGCCCTCCAAGCCTGGAGGCACACCAATCCTGAGCCTGTGCGTACCCTTGATACTCCCCGTACGCTGTCCTATAAGATCTCTTGAGAGGCCCTAGGAGCCGTCTTTTGCTAGCCGTCCGCCATGTCGGAGGGTGAAAGACCCGAGCTAACATGGGGTTAGCTCGTTAAATTACAATAAAGCCTCGTGCAGTTTGCATCAAGCTCTCAAATCCGCCTGGTGATTGGGGTGACCGAGAACGTGGCCTGGGACCCCGGATACCTGAGTTTTCTGGGGGTCTAACAGGGATGGGAAGTGCAAGGGAGGTGACTGAGGAGCTGAGATTTCCTCAAATGCCGGGTTCCAGCCTGTATCAGACCCATGTAACAGAGGTCATCTATTCCAGACTGATGTCTTTGGGGCTGCGACCCGAACCAGCTGAGCAGTCCTGGGTCTGACTCTGAGTGGAGAAGTGTGGATTGGGAAACTCCTAGCTACCCAATATAGGACATTAAGGACAGAGACATCTTGTCATCTCAGGAGGGCTTTATTCAAGCATCCCTCTTAAATAGCTTTCCAAAAGTAGGGGAACTGGTAAAAGACATCTATTATCATGTGTTAAGCTGATACCAAATATTTCCTTTAGTCCTACAAGACAGTCCTACAAGCACATACACAAGCCCCCAGACATTCTACAGGAGCACATCTCATTAGTCCCTCACTAGTCTCCAGGCATATCTCACCAGCCCCCATGATGGGTATGTGTCCACCCAGGGGCCTATGTCTATTGTTACACAAACTAGGAACCATTCCCCACCAAGGTCAGGCATCCAGAGTTAATCAGTCAGAATCTGAAAGACAATGGGAGATTTGAGCTCCTGGAATTGAGCTGAGGCCTGTATCCAAATATCATAATCGATATTTGGGCCCTGACACCCAAGCAACCCCTTGGTAAGTCTCTGCTCTCTAGAAACAGGATTCTCCTCTCAGAGCCTATATTTCTTCAAGCTCCAAAATACAGAGGTGAAGTTGAAAGGAAAACTGGGGGAGAGAAGGATTCTGGTGATGGCTTGCTGGTGTCTGCACTGATTCTGTTGATGTCGGAGAGCCAATCCAGAAAAGTGCCCTACTATTGAATCAAATTCCAGCCCCTCACTGGGGGATTCTAGGCAGGAGGTCTACCACTGAGACACACCCAGTCCCCCACTGGGGGATTCTAGGCAGGAGGTCTACCACTGAGACACACCCAGTCCCCCACTGGGGGATTCTAGGCAGGAGGTCTACCACTGAGACACACCCAGTCCCCCACTGGGGGATTCTAGGCAGGGGCTCTCCCACGGAGCCACCCCCCAGCCCCTCACTGGGGGATTCTAGGCAGGGGCTCTACCACTGAGACACACCCAGTCCCCCACTGGGGGATTCTAGGCAGGGCCTCTACCACTGAGCTATGTCCCCAGACAAGAGGTTTTCCTGTTTTGTTATGCCTAAGTTAGGATTCTGCAGTTGATCTGGTGTTAGGTAGTGTAGATCTCTCTGGATGCAAGAAAAGGTACACTTGGCTAACTAAGAAGACAATTCACTTCTCAGTCAACTGTGGCAAATATTCAATTGTCATGGAACCTCACATAGATTCCAGCATACTATAGACATGGTTATGTTAAAATAATTACTACATTTCATTTATTTCCTTAATTAATTCAGGAAACATCTTTTAGCTGGGTATGGTGACGCACCTCTAATAACAGCACTTGGAGGAGGCTATGGCAGGAGGATTGTAGGTTCAAGGCCAGCCTGGGCTATGTAGCAGATGCTGTATAAACAAATATTTTCTGCTGAATGAGGGTCATGCAATACAAACTGTACTAGTCAAGGGAAGGCACATAAAACACACACTTTCACTAAAGGAAATTGATGCAGTGGGAAGCTGAAAAGTGTGTGAAGGTCAGACAAGGGCTGGTGAGATGGCTCAGAAGGTAAAAGCCAAGTCTGATGAACCTGAGTTCAATCCACAGGACTCACAT